TGGTAGGGTCAGGGGAGGAGAAGAATTTGACCCCCAAGCCCAGTGAGATTGCCTAACCTTGCTCTAGAGGAAACCCCTCCTTCCCCGATATAGAGTTCATTTAAGAGAGCCAATGGAGACTTCCCACATCCTGTACTGTACTGCATGCATACCTTATTATATCATCTTGTTTAAAATCCTGACTAGTACTTCCACATGCTAACCCACATATTAAAATAATTGAAAATTTTGCAAAGGAATTGTTAAAAATACAGTTTTATTCATTTTTAAAACATAAAAAATTCACAGAATTCACAAATTTCTTCATAAATTCATCAAAAAGAACTCAGTGGTGTTTTTTTAAAAAATTAATTAATGTATGAGATAGTGAAACTAAGTAACCCATCCATCCTGGCAGTGGACTTTGAGCACTTAGCTCTTAAATGTCTGGTCTTGAACCCCGTATATTCAATTATGGTGCTGAAATAGTTTTGTCAGCCTGTTTTCTGTGCCAGGCCCAAACCTTTAATAGTCATGTGGAGACAGGTACATCACAGTCCTCTCCAGACTAAAAATAGGTGCAGCTATTTAATTAGGTCAGATGGCTGAGAATGTTATTGAGATTAATTTTCATAAAGACTTGCCATAATTTGCAAATTTCTGTATTTGTTCAATTCAACTAGAGTTTTTCAATACCGAATGTGACTGAAAGTGAAACTGGCAGATTGATCAATCTCTAGTCCCACCCACAGCTTGTATAACTACATTCTTTTCTAAAACCAGCAACCCGTCCTATTTCATGGGCTGTTAAATTACATTATTCTACCCTGGCAGATTTATAATCTGTTCCTTGCTGCCTTTGCAAATCTTCCTCCTCCAATCCTCCGTATAAGTGTATGATTAATAAAGTCCTTATACTTTCCCTCCAAACATCAATTAAAATGATAAATCGGTTTACTTTTTTGCTATGCTACTCTCATGAGATAGACATACTGCTGCCCACATTTCAAGCATTCAAGATATTTTGCATATGTCATTTCAGTAACACTTCACCCCGTATGTATGGCTCTATTATTACCATCCCATACTGCAGGTGGAAGTTAAGGATAGGAAACAGTTATCTAGTGTTGGTGACATTTAAACTGGAACTTCACAGTAAAGCCCTAGGCACAGGGAAGAGGAAGGAGAACCTACCCTTCCTCTCTTTTGACACCTCTCTTGAACGAAAAGGGTTTTTTAAAATAAATGAGAAAAAAATTGTAAACTCTTCCTTGCTTCTGATAGCAACCCCTGTGGATAAAGCACTGGTGTTTCATTGGCTGAAATCCTGCCACTTAGTATAGTAGGTCACACTAGAATACGCTCATTGAATAAGTGGGGACTTGGTAAATCAGCTGCTCTGTAAGTTCCACTGATTCCAATGTGCCTACTCTAGTTGTGACTTACTTTGGTACAGTAAGTCACAGCTGGGGTAGGTCTATTTGAATCAATATAACTTATGAGTTGACTCACCCAATCCCCACTGATTCAGTGGGCTTACTCTACTCTATATACAGGTCAGGCTGTTTTCAATCTTACAAGGTCTGCTTTTCAAAGAATTACTGGTGTGTAGAGCTCTACACAGATAAACAGAGGGACATGGGATGTTAACCCTCAGTCCTGAAATTAACAGGCACAAGAATATGCTGCTGGAAAGGCACAAACCAATCTACCCCAAGCTTGTCTACAGCTTCCAGCTGGTCCTCCTTGGGCAGTAGGAAACAGAAAACAGACAGGCTCACCATTGAACGAACCAATATGGCTGCTACATGCTCAGATCCAGGCATTCCTAGCTGTTGCTCCACTCTTTCCATGCCTATGCTCATCTCATATGGCACAAGCTTAACCAAGGGGCAGTAAAGCCTTCAGCACAAAAACTGTCAGTTACAGATCGCAGCAGGGCCGGGGAACTGGCCCTTTATTTTTGCAATTCCCTCTTAAGCTACTCACAAGGCTACAAATCAGGAAGCTGATGTTCAAATAATATAATGGCTCCTAACCTTGGGTTACCCATGTGTTCTTGGACTACAACTCCCATTGGACTACAACTCCCATTACCAGCACAGCTAGTAATGAAAGTTTCTAGGAATTGCAGTCCAAGAACAACTGGACTAATATAAGGAGGCAGAAATTTCATGAAGGATGCTTTTACCATTTCTTGTGCCATTTCAGCAATGACCTCAGAAACCAACAAGTGCTAGATGATTCACAAAAACTGAGTACAGGCTCATTGATGTACTAGCATATTTTATGCCGCCTCTCTGAATTGCATGACTTATGATCACAATGACTGGCAGAGTGCATGAGCTCTGGTCATAAGGTTGGAGGCAAAAAAAGTTAACAACCTCAACTCAATCAGAAAGGAAGAGACCTTGGAGTTCTTCGTAAGTGGTGTCCAATATTTAGTGTGCGATGTGAATGCTGCTAAACCCTACAGAAATAGTGACATACATTTATTAATAAACAAATGTAACATTCTCAGAAAGTCCAGCACAATGTCATTTCCTTTTGAAGAGAACATGCCTCTATGAGTCTGAAGATTCTCAGTCATCCAGGTAAGGTTATCTGGAAGTTGAGTCATGACAACTGGACTTTTTTCTTATTAGGTTATTCTTATCATGACTCTATGAGGATGACTAAAACACCAAAAATTGAGAGCACCTGAAAGGGAAAGTCAAGAGGGTCAAGTTTCTCAGGAATACTAGAAGAATACTGAGAACCACAGTTATGGAAACAAGTGGAAAGTAATGCAGACTAGAGTAATAAAAAAAATCATAGCTTCATATATATGGTGATAAGTTTGGGTTGCCAGTTATTCCCCAAGAAAGGGATCTGGACTCATAACAGACAGCTGAAAATCTAGACCCAGTATGCAGGGTGAACTGCATGTTAAGGAGTCATAAGAAAACAGATGTTCCAGTATCATAATGCTTTCATATAAATGTATGGAAAACTACATCTAGAACAGTGTACACTGCCTAGCTAGCCACTGCATTATGAAAGGAGTCTGGAAGAACTGGAGAGAATTGAAATGATCAAGAGGATATAGCAGCTCCCCCTCACAGAAAGGTTCCAATACCAACGCTCAGAAATAAAGTTAAAGGTGATCATTGATGGCAGTGCACAGAATAGTGCATGCTGTGAACAAAGCAATTAAATAGCTCTTTTCTCCTTTTCACTAGAACCTGTTATTAAGGCTGAATGGTGAGAAATTTGGACAGAAGAAAAATATTTCTTCATACAGCACATACAAAGTGAAGCAATCTACAAGAGATAACAGTCAGTGCTAACACAAGGATGAATAAATCCAATTAATGGAGAATAGCTATCAGGGACTACTAGTTCTGATAATTACTGTACTTTTCCGTGTATAAGACGCACCCCCCAATTTTTAACCCAAAATTAAGAAATCTAAGTGGGGCTTAGCAAGTGGAAGGGAAAACAGGGATAAAAGCCCTGCAGGATCACTTTGATCCCTGCTTTCCCCTCCACTTGTTTTTTTCTTTCTCCTCAGGTTACTTCTGTATATAAGACAACCCTCAATTTTTAGTCTAAACATTTTAGACAAAAGTATAGTCTTATACATGGAAAAATATGGTATTCATCTTGGAACCAGTAGTTCTTGGGGAGTTTCTGTCCTGCTGGCCACCTTTCCCTGAAAAAATGCTGGGACTAGAATGGCTAGCACCTCACTCCTCATATTCAGGAAGAATATGCCTTGCTTGGGTTAGGAAATGCATATGGATAAGTCCTTCATCTGATCCTTCCCACCTCTTATACTGTACTTTTAAGGTTAATTATTGGAGCCAGGTTGCTAACTGAAGCCAGGCACAGGGATCACATATAGTCCCCCTCCCCCCGCATTACAGCAGATCCATTGACTGCTGATTCATTTCCAGGCACAATTCAAAGTGCTGCTTCTAACTATAAAGCCGTAAATGGCTCAAGGACCACATTTCCCTTTATGAGACTGCTAGGGTGTTAAAATCATCAGGACAGGCCTTCCTCTTGGTCCCACTGCCTTTATAGATGTGTTTGGTGGGGGTTAGGAGAGGGCCTCCTCTGTTGCTACTCCTAGACTTTGGAACTCCATCCTATAGGAGGCCAGGCTGGACCCATCATTGCTGTCCTTTGGCAAGCAGGCGAAGACCTTTCTCTTCAAGCAAACTTCCTCTTAGTGACTGGCTACCTGAGTGAGGTTTTTTAATGGATGGCTGTGCCTTACTGGTTTGAATGTGATTTCAGTGTTTTGTTTACTGCCTTTTAGTGCAGTATTTGTTTGATCTTTTAAAATATTTGTATACTTACTGTTTTCAGTCTTAAATATGTCTTTTAATGATGTAAGTTGACTTGGGTCAATTTCAACGAGAAGGGGGGATAAAAAATACTTTAAATAAAGAACTATTTAAAATACATTGTCCAGGGCTTGGAAAACTTACTGTTCCGGACTGTAATTCTCTGAATTCCCCCTCCTCAAACAAACTTTTCCAAACCCAGCCACACACTGTTTTTTTTTTTTTAATGCTTTCTTAGTACTTGTGATTACGCAGCTAAAATAAGTACAAGACTTCGGCAGCAATGTAAGAACAAACAAACAAATCATGATCTTGTCTTCCCCGGGCAGACTCCCATCACCTATACCCATCATTACCCCAAAGGCAGTGACAATGCAAACTACAGTACAGCCCAAGAAGATCGTGAATATCTCATGTTCTTTTAACTTCTGCCTTAAAATTAGAGTTTTCCCCGCCTCTCTTCCTCGGTGATCGGAAACAACGCTCGTACGGAGAAATTGAATGCTTCAATATTTGCGCTCATTCCCGCACGCGTGCAAAAGAACGCTTCGACCGGCCACGAGACCGCCCCCCGACTTCAGTACGAGAAAAGCGTGCAGAGTATCCCGCGCATGTGCAGTCCATCCTTTTTCTCTCTCTCCCCCCCCAGCTTATTTCTTTTCAGCCACACCTCCGGCTCCCCTGTGACGTCGATCCACGCTATTGACTACTACGGCGAATGGAGCAGCCCGGGCCCCGCCCACCACTATATATCTCTCTCTGCGCAGGGGAGGGGGGTGGGCGGGCACCGTTGTGCTGTGGAGTAGGCCGCAGCCGTGAGTGTGTTTGGGAAGCGTCGGGCCCGAGACTGCTTTTCGGATCTTCCATCTCCCCCCTCTTTTCCCTCCCTTTCCTCTCTCTCCTTTTCTAGGTCGGGAAGATGCCGCGCGTCTATATTGGCCGCTTAAGCTATCATGTCCGGGAGAAGGACATCCAGCGTTTTTTCAGCGGCTACGGCCGCTTGCTCGAAGTCGACTTAAAAAACGGGTGAGGAGACTTAGGCCGAGGGCAGAGTTCGGAGCGCGAGCTCGCGCGTGGTGCCCAGCTTGAGAGGGGGAGGGGAAGCGGGTTTGGCGGCGCGCGGGAGCCGTTTATCTCGCGCCAGGGCCTTCTCGGGGCCTCCTCCGCCTCTTGCCGCGTGGCGGCGTGCTCAAAATGGCGGCCGCCGAGGGCCTGGCCCTATTGTTTCCGCTGGTGGCAGAAAGAGGGGAGAAACGGGGGCGAGAGGGTGCCTTTCTCCCCCCCCCCGTCATAAATTTTTAGAGATAGTTTTCCTTGAGAGGAAATGGCAGAGGAGGAGGAGGCCGCCGCCGCCCAGGGAGTTGGCGGGAGTATCCGCTGCGGGTTGCCCTCCTGCGGGCGAGCCTGACGGAAGGGGGAAAAGCGGTCGGGTCGGTTGGTGTCGCCTCTTGAGTGGCGGGTGGTAACTTTCCGTCGCTCGGCGGCGCCTTGACCCTCTCTTTGCCTTCCGCCCAGGTACGGGTTTGTGGAATTTGAGGATTCCCGGGATGCCGACGATGCCGTTTACGAGCTGAACGGCAAGGATCTGTGCGGGGAGCGGGTGATCGTGGAGCACGCCCGCGGCCCCCGCCGGGATAGGGACGGCTACAGCTACGGCAGCCGCAGTGAGTGTTGCTCCGGCGTGGCCTTTTCCGGGCGCGCTCAGGAGTGGAAAGGGGGTGGTCTCGGGGGAAGGGGGGCAAGCGGGGGTCCGGGGAGTGGGTGGGTTGCGATCGCGGGGAGCTGGAGCAGAGGGACGTAAAGCTCTTGGGAAGACATGGATAGGAGGAAGATTTGGGAGAAGGGAGTGATGTAGGCCCTTAGTTATGAGGGGTGTGTGCTCCTCTTGGGTCTCTGGTGTTTCAAGGGGGTTCAAGGCCCTTTTAGGGCCTTGAAAGGGTTGTGGAAGTGTTAAGCAACCCCTGTGTATATCATGCCCCGAAGTGCTAAAGCTGGGGTACAAAGTGGGAGATAGTGGGGAGGTGTATTTGGGGGTTAAATGTTAAAAACTCACTGCTCTTAATTAAAACACAAGTAGCACCAAAAATCAACCGCGAAGTTAGGTTGGAGAAGAGTTGCTGCAAAGTTGCTCATGGAAATGAGTGCCTAGAGGTACTCTTAAAATATATATTGAGAAGTGCTTTCCTTCAAATTCTCAAGCATGAGGATGTTCTGAAAGTTTTGATTGCAACAGTGACAGCTATCAGAAGCTGGGCAGGCTGAATTGGAAATTGGGTGTCGAAGCAGAACCCATGTAACTTTCTAGAAAAGATCTGGGCTGATCAGATTCTTTTGAACATTGTATGATGGTTAAGAGCAGTAAGGGGGAATCTATTCTAATAGCTTGCTACTGGTGGGGGTGGGTTATTTTGCAATATGTATGTATGTTTTTTAAAAGTTGTTGCATGTTCAATTCAAACTTTTTAACAAGTCCTTGATGTTTCAATTTAAAAGTGACCAGTGGGGCTGAGGCTGTGTCCACTGAGGCTAAGATGACTGCCTTTCCTGATTGGCCATGGCTTTTCCATACATTGTGTGACCCTTGCCCTATGACCCTTTGGCTGACCTTACCGGAAGCCATGACGACAGCAGCCTTTTGCCATTAGACGCAGGGTGATGGTGAGGATTCCAAGGGTTAGACAAAACTGGTTAAACTGAACTAGGTGACTGTTACCTTGCGTGTGTTGTGGCCAAACCACCACCAAATACCTCATACTGTGATGTAAGTACTTAGTGTAAATTAGTAAATTTTTTGTAAATTGTAGAAATGCATGTAATCAGTTAAGTTTTATATTTTACAATGTTCTGTAAAATAAAACTTAGCAAGGTAAATCTAATAAAGGAGCAGTCACTTTCTAACAGAGTTTAGGAGCACAGTCTTGTAGGATTTTAGTCTTTGATTTGCCCGTAATATATACAATATGGCGAATTGGAAATATACAATATGGCGCATTGGAAATTTTGTTACAGGATTAGAAAACTAAAGTCCTACTCCTGTAAATGCAATTTGTACACTAAAGTAAAATGACTTTCGCTTGCTTTTATATAAAGTTACTAACTTTGTATCTTTGTATGATGAAGGTGGAGGCTATAGCAGTCGAAGAACATCAGGAAGAGATAAATATGGACCTCCTGTTCGTACAGAATTCAGATTAATTGTTGAAAACCTTTCCAGTCGCTGTAGTTGGCAGGATTTGAAAGTAGGTTGACATGCAAGCCTCTTAAAGGGAGAAAAATTTTGGCAAGGTCATTTTTGTATGTCTGAACATTCCACAAAGTTGGAGGAGAACCTCTGAGCATTCAGGTATATTTGTTGAGATCAGTGAACTTGCTGGTCAGAATCTTGTTGTTACTGTACAGCATAAGCCAGAATTCAAGTAAGCAATGTGTTCAGTCTTGCTAATTGTCTAGTTTATTCCCTGTTGCACAGTCTGTTGTGCTTTGGGATGCTGGTCACGTGGCAAGCAAAACATGAAAATCACATGCAGAGTTATACTGATGTGTAGTATTTTGCAGTAGAGTTTTGAGCACTGAGCCTAGTGAAGATAATGATGATAAAAATGCTGTCAAATCAATTATGAGCTGTAGCAACTCAGGTTATTTACTTACAAAATACTTAAGCAGCTTAGCAGACCTTCCTTCTGATTATGGCACTCTTGTCCAAAGTTGGCAGGACTTATAGCTCCATCAGTTACATCCTGTGTGAGATTTCAGCTGGCCCTTTTGCCAGGTTTCGCACTGGGAATTTGAATGTCCTTGGCTCTGCAACCGGGAGCTCCAGTTTCCTAAGCTATACCAGCCTTTACAGTGTAGTACTCTTATTTAAAAATGGAATAATTTCATTTATTCTTTAAGGATTTCATGAGGCAAGCTGGTGAAGTAACATATGCAGATGCTCACAAAGAACGCACAAATGAAGGTGTAATTGAATTCCGTTCTTACTCTGACATGAAACGAGCGTTGGACAAATTGGATGGCACAGAAATAAATGGACGAAAGATCAGGCTTGTTGAAGATAAGCCACGATCGAGCCATAGGCGATCTTATTCTGGCAGCAGATCAAGGTAATTTCACAGATGATACCAGTGTGTTTGGAAGATTTTCTTTAAGTAAAATGTGGAGACGTTGACGTTTGTAGCAGCTGTTACACTGACTGGAAAGGGAACTGTTGATCTTGCAGCTTTACAAACCATAGAATAGATGCCACAATCTTTTAGAGGATTTACTGAAGTATTAAGTCCCTTAAACAGCTAGGCTAACAGGTTCCAATTTTTACATTGTCTTCAGGGTCTAGATTAATTTGCGATATACTGAAAGAAGGGAGCCCAAAACAATTTTGTTGAGTAACAACTTGAGATTTAATTTATTTTGAATGTGCTCAGGAGGCGTTAATATACCTCTTTACTCGGCCAGGAAGTTGAATAGTTGATTCCGGGTCAGTCACGCATTTCAGACTGACCTCTCACTGGCTCATTGGGAAATAAAACGTGACATGTTGCCTTGAGCTAATTAGAGGAAAGATAGGATGTAGATGGAAGAAACAAGTACATAAATTTTGAAGAAAAGCAATTAATACAGTGTGTAGGTGGGTTATGCCTAGAGTTTGAGGCTCTTTCCCATACTGATATATGAAATGCCTCTGATGTGCGATTTTCTTTAAGGAGGATAAATTGAATGTAGGGTGCCCAGAGCAAAACTGAGTTGAAATGCTGGTTTTTTTCCCCCCAGGTCACGTTCCAGACGGCGATCACGTAGTCGAAGTCGTAGGAGTAGCCGTAGTAGGTCCCGTAGTGTCTCAAAAAGCAGATCACGGTAAGGAGTTGGACTTTGCTCATAAATGTTGGCAACATTGCTTTCAGAGCATTTACTAGTATCCTCTAAATTAGTTTCTCTTTTTAATTACTATTTTATATGTATGTTTGCAAACTATTCAATGCATTTTTCTTTTGAAAAGTTCTAAATCTAGGTCCCAAAGCAAAGATCGATCACGTTCCAGATCTAAAAGCAGGAAGTCTAGATCAAAGAGTAAGTCTAAGCTGAAATCTGACAGGGAGTCACGATCCCACAGCAGGTCCAAAGAGAAGTCTAAGTCACATAGCAGATCCAGGTCTGTGTCCCGATCGCCCAAAGAAAATGGTAAAGGAGAAGCAAAATCTAAATCAAGATCAAGGAGCAGATCTCGTTCCAATTCACCTGTGGAACACCAGCCTGCAAAGTCTAACTCAGAATCTCCACAGAAAAGAGAAGCGTCCCGATCTCGATCAAGATCGCATTCAAAATCCCACTCGCGCTCCAGATCCAGCTCACAAGATTAAGATTAGAACTCTTTTCACGTAATATGGAACTTTTGTACGTCAGGCCAGAGGTTTTGTTTTGTTTTTTAAAATGTTCTAATTGGAAAAGCTGGCATGTTTGGTTGGAGACAGAAACGTCCTGAAAACCAAGTAAATAAGGCACACATTTGATACACCTAAAATTTCCTGAAAGGTTGTACGGAAGTGACAGAAAGCAGGAAAGGGTCTCTCTTTTGTTTTGTAGAAATTAGGAGAAAATTCTGATTATTTTTAGTAGTGTCACAGCAGAAAGAAAAATGCTGTGGAGTTGAGAATGAGTTTTATAATAAAGTACCAGTGCAGAAGGCTTTTGGGAGAGGTAAATTTTTCCTAAATATTTCCATTATTTAAAAGCTGTGGAAATTAATTTACTTGGCTGTAGCTTGCATCCAAAAATGCATAACAGCCTTATTCACCAGGTCAAAGTTGCTTTTATAGCAAATTAAATTTGAAGCAAACACTGAGTTTAAATTGATGCCCTTCATCTCTGCTGTACTATAATGTGCCATAAGTAACTAGATGTTCTATAATAACATTGTATGGTTCAGATTTGCCTAACATACAATAACTGGAAGCATTGACTTCTCAAAATAAGATTCCAGGCGCCACCATAATTTTTGTTTGCCAGATTTTTTGCTTATTCATATACTGTCCTCTTACTGCTTAATAAGAGGTTACATTAACTGCCCTAAAATTGATGGCAATGTTGGGAACTTAATGTACAGAGCTAAAAATTTTAGTCTTAAAGGGGTATCTAAAATGAATTGACAGTACAATTTATGCACCTGCATTAGACGTCATTTCCAAAGACCCTTGTATGTAACAAATCAATTTAGCGACAATAGCAGAATATTAGCACAAACTTGTAATCTTTATACATTGTATAGTTTGACTTGAATAAAATTAAATCAGTGACTTCGTTGTTTGTGTTGCAGTATTCCTTTATTGAGTATTGTTTAGAAACTGACAGTGTCAAAATGAATAGACCAGACCTTAATGCTGGTGTTGTAAGTGGAAACAGTGAGAAATGCTCTACACAGTGATCTACCACATTCGGGCTCGCTGAAATCCTTTTGTAAATTAATCTGAATAATGCTGATTTACTGCAGCAGCAGTAATTTTGGGGAAATTAAACATTGACCTCTCCCAAAGCCTCCTGTGTAATTAATTCTTTTCCATTGGTTGATCCCATGCGATGGGAGGAGGAAGTCTAATGACCAATTATTACTGCTGCTGGGATGACTTATTCATAAGTGGTGAGAAAAGGTGAGTTGGCAGATGTAAGGTTGCAGCTGACATCAGCGCTAGTTAGTGTAATAGTGGTGAGTGAATTTGGTTGCTGATGTGGAAGACTCCATTTCTCAAACCTGCACTTAACAATCACATTTTTGACATAATTTGGGAACAGTCCCTAACCGTCCACAAGTTTTTTTTCTTTGCTCTTTCAAAAGCTGCATCCTCAAAACAATTTTAAAATGTAACGTTGTGACACTATAGTTGTTGACAGCAACAATACATGGCAGGATGATCCACAATTAATGCCTATTGAAATGAAATTCTTATGAAGTTTTGCTAGTTCCAGGTGGCTTGCTGCAGCATTTTGAATATGTTGAGGTTTGCATCTATACAGGAACAGCCCCACGTGCATATTTGGTTACTCGGGAATAAATGAACTATTGTACAACCATCTGCATATTTTTAGTGTTGGGACAGTCTGGGAGCTTCCATATAAACTTGCTTGAGGACATACGCCAGACATCTGGAAATGGTACGGGCACAGTACATGTACCTGGCTGTGGAGCCAGAGTTTGATTTGGCACTGTTTCCTTGATAAGGACTGAACTTGATCCATAGCATCTCCTGCAACTCTTAAGATGATTTCATTGTCCTTTGAGTTTGAAGGAGCTGATTTCAGCATAAATAGTTTGGTAGAGAATATTTGGGAACAATTGCATTAATAGCTTTTATCCTGCATTTCTAAGACCTGGACAGGAGTATCAGACAATGCATCATAGACGTCAGGAAATAATCCAAAGGTGTTGCTGAGACTACAGTAATGGTAAAATCAGCTGAGAGGGGAAAAACCCTGCAAAAGGAAGTTTTACCTCATTGCTTAATATTCTTTGTGAGTACCGTCAAGCTAGAAGTCATAAGCATTCAAAGAACTTGCCAAATATTTGTTGGTAAACTAGTGAAAGAAAAGCTTTTATTATGAATAAATCTCATACATTCTACAAATCAGGAATGAATGGAGCAGTTTTTACAATGAAACATATAGAGGGGTTTAGCCATAAGTTAATACTGTTTAATTTAAAAAGATGTCTGGACTGAAAAATCACCCTAAATTGTGAATGACACCAAGTTATTCAGGGTGACAACCCCAGGTTTACAGAAGAGTTCTAAAAAGATAAGCATGTTTTGTTACAGCAGTGAAATGTCAAGAGAGAAGTAAGTAAATAAGGGAAGTACTGTACTCGTATGCCTCTTGAATCAACAAGCAGCTGTGACCCACATCCCTGGGTAAAGTCTTAGAATCACAGTCGGCTCATTGCAAATACCAACAAATGCTACTGCAATGGAAGGTGCAAAATGAAGTGCTGTAGCCAAACTGAAAAAGGGTTAGCAGTACAGAATTTTTCAGGACAAACTTTCCATAAGCCCGCCAACATTCAGTCCTAAGGATATTAACTACTTTGGTAGCTTATTTTCACATTTATGTGTCACTTACATCCTAGTGAGCTTGTGAAGACTCTTGTGATTCTGTCTTGTCTCATTTCATCATCAACAAACAGGTGAGCTAGTGTAGTCTTGTATGGATGAGTAAGAAAGTTTTAAACCCCCACCCCCATGATGCAAATTGGACAGCTTTACAATGTGAATAGATGCTGTGGGAACAGTGATAACACCTAGGACTATAAGAGGACAAGAAGCCTGGTTTTCCTCCCCCTCGTTTCTTTTGCGCCCCCCCCATCTGATACACTACTTCGGACTCAGAACTGTAGCCGACAGCTAGCTTCTATTCACAGCTCTCCAATGCCAATTTTCAAAGCTGTACCAATGTGTATAAAGAACTCGTTCAATGGTTTGAAAAAAAATGAGAAATTTGAAAATCAGAGTTCTCTAGACTTTTGGGGGGTGGTGTCTCCATTTTTGGGGGCCCTTTTGGTGCACAGTATGTTTGCAAGTGTGAAGGACACCCACCAGACTAATAAGGCAAGAATCTGAAACCATTTTTATACACCTTTCACATTTCTGCCCAACAGTTGTGATTGAGTTGGTATCGCATCTAGCATGTATAATTACTGTTTGCTTATAAATCAAAGAGGAAACGGGTAAAGGCTTAGCAAAACGTCATGTCCTTAAGAATGGAATTTAGGGATGCTTGATAGTGATGCCCTTGAGGCTGAATTGTTATACCAATGTAAAATTAATTTTTAGAAAACGTTCAGAATTAACACAACAAATTGGTTAGTGCAAATGTCAAGATTTCTCCATTACAACCCACAGTGCCAGTTCTGTGTTCAGAGATATGCAGAATTACAGTTCAGAATCAGGAACAGTTTTAATTAGAAATCAGAAACTACTGAATGTTTGGGACAGTTCTCTTCCAGGTTTTACAAACTTAGGCTCAGTTCACATGTTTCCCTTCTGACAAGCAAATGGGTGTCCTCTTTTCAGTTTGGGGTTCTGCAGAGTCTTACAACAGCAGTGAAAATCACAGATGTTGCAACTGATGAGAGAGACAGCATCTTAACATAAGGAGAGCCCTGCTGGATCATGCCAAGGGCCCATCTCCTCCAGCTTCTTGTATCTCACAGTGGCCCCACCAGATGCCTCTTGTTATTTTATGTTGTGTTGTTGAAAAGAAGGAAGTACAGTGGGGTCTTGACTTAAGAACGGCTTGAGTTAAGAACATTTTGACTTAAGAACCACTCTCATAGGAAAATATTGACTTGACAAGTACTTAGATTTGAGTTAAGAACTGAAAAAAAACCACGTGGGAGGCAGGGAAAGTGCAAAATGTGAACTTTCAGTTAACTGTTGGCCAGTGAAAAGGGTGCCTGTCTGCTTCCTCACTCCTCCCAGCGTTTAGAGAGTGGATTGGGAGTCTTCAGACTGCCTGG